CTCTTGGGAGTAGAAGTGGGATGAAGGTCTTCAATAATTTGATACAATGCAACTCGTACGCAAAGGACGCGGCGTCGCAAGCCACGCCCACCATTACGATGAGCCATGGCAGAATTATCACATGCACTCTTCTAGTAGGCAAATTAGGACAGAGCGGGCACGTCTTCCCATTTGGGGGAAGGGAGGGAGGGGGATTGCGAGGTACGACTCTTTTCTTTCCCCATCACCTATCGGGTTTTTTTTTCAAGAATTCCTCCACTATCCCCTCCTCTCCAAGAGAAACTACCGTCGAGAGCAGGTATACTTCGCGCTGAGACAGTAGAAAACAGAAGACAAAAAAGAAAGTCAACAACTAAAAACATTCTCCTTGGAGGCAATTGCGACACCCTCTCCCCCCCCCCTTCCAGTGAACAACTAGGACTTCCATCTCTGGGGATCCCCAACGTTCCCCGAACGCAATCCATCCCAACTGCACTAACAGTACAACTTGCTATTCCAGCTGAAATCAATGATTCTGCCCAAATGCGAGTTGGATGCGGACTACATGGCAATTGTGTCAGTTCCGACACTGTCGAGGATCATCACAACAAGAGGGAACAGGAACGAGCTCGTCGGCATGTTTCCAAATGTGGAAATACTTGAATGGAATGTGGAGGAATTCTTAAAGAACTGAATAAACAATATTTTAATTTTATAATGCTTGCTGCTTCTGATGTTATACCCTTTTCTCCTTTGATGTAGATCAGATCCTGCACAAAAACCATTTCTATGCGATAAAAGGATGTGATGATTCCAGTGTAATCAACTAATTTTTGGCAAATTGCCACGCAGTCCACTTCTGTCTACTCTTATGATGGCAGTTTCAAGCGATTTGTCCCATGAAATGACCTACAGGAGCCAGATGATATCAGAACCAGAAAGAAGATCGTTTTTATCGGGAGACGGGCAAGAGAATCATAAATTGCCGCATCGTCGCGCGCGGCAATGGGCGTGACAATCCTTTAATTTGCACTAACCTATCGAGTAGAACATC